CTTCCCTCCTTTAAGGTATTTCAGATTGGGTACCAAAATATAATCACCCCTATCACTAGTTACTTCTGAAAAATCGTGACCAGGTATCATTAGGGATTGTCATTCTGAAGTCTTTTCTGAAACTTTCACTTTTATGACTGAATTTTTTCCAGGACCAGTCTCTACTTGAAGGTGAGTTTTTTTTAAAGTTTGAGTAAACCCAGTTCTGAATACAAGAGAAGGAAAACAAAACAACAGTGCGCTTAAAAAGAAATGTGCAACCTTTTTTTTTTTTGAGCCGCTCTAGTGTTTCAGTGGTTTGGCCAAACCTAGGGTCTGTGATTAGTGAAGATCCATTAGGATTTAACAGATTTGTTTAACTTAGGAGTCTGCAGCAAGTGGGATGTCTTTCTAAAAGTCATGCATTAGCTCCATCAGTAGTTACAGGCCTGGCATCCCTAGATGGAATTCTATGGTACAAGGATATGCAGGAAGAGAAACTAGACAGCCTATGGATCCCTTCAGGCCTTACAATCTAATGGTTTAAAAATAGACTTTATTTATGCACATATTTTAAACTAAAAGTTATGTCGGATTTGTTGTTTCAATGCATTATTTCTCGTTATTGCATTCCTGAGTGAAAATTTTATTTCTGAAGGAAATGTATGGCATCAGAGCCTCTGTGAGTGTAGTCAGCATAGCTCCATTAACCATCAGGTGCATAAGGAATAAGGCACTAGGTGCAGATAAAACCTTAATTTGGTATTTCCTGCTGTCTAAAGTGCTTCATCTTGCAATCTATTGCTTCTTTTAACAGGTGTGTGGGGATGGGAGGGGGGGAAGGGTAGATGGAATTGGGGACTTACTATACTGTAGTGATTCTCACTGCTGTTAAAGAACAAACACCACCTGATGAAGGAATAGCCTTTGTTTCCCTTAAGCTTCAATAATTTCTCCTTTCTCTCTCTCTCTGAACACTGGCTGAATCCACAGCATCTGTTCTGTGATATTTCCACACAAGCTCTGGTTGCTATGTGGTCAGCTCATAGGAAAGCAGGAGGTGGAGGTCTCTTGGAACTAACTACTAATTCTTTACTGCACAAAATATAGAAAATATCTGTAAATATTTTGGTTTTATCTATTTCAGTTTGGTACACAGGATCTGACTCACTGGTTGCTGTACAGTGCCTGTGTTTGCTTCTGTGTGACACTGCAGTAGAAGAAAAAGGATGATACTGTTATTATATAAAAATTATTTCCACCCACTGTGCTGACTCATCAGTGTCACTCACCAGCATTTGCATCAGTATCAAAATATACTTCTGTTATCCATTTCTGTCCCAGCACATTATCTATTCCTTCCTCCTTAGCCTTCTGTGTATGATGATGCTGGGTGCATGTTTTTAACATTGTACTCCCCATGTACAAGATACATGAAAGAATCCCTAATAATTTTGAAATGTCTCTGTTTCAGTCACCTGGTGCCTCTTTTTCATTGCAGAACTCAGGAGGATGGGCGGAAACCCCCATTTTTCAGTAGCAGAAGTCCTATGGGAGGTAGATCAGATCTTAGAGCTCCAGTGCACAATTCTGCCCTAAATGTCTTCCCTCCTTGTTTGACACCTTTTTCATAAGGCCAATAAAAGGATCTAAAGATTTTCTAGGTCTTTTTGACACAATTTGGTAGCACTGGACAGATACCCTGCAATTTCCATTGGAATAATTTAGGAAATTGTTAAGACATATGGCAACAAGTAAATTTCATGGGCCAATCCCTTATCTTTGATAGCAATTGGACCAATACCCCACAAATGGGATGACAAATGTATAGTTGCCATGTGACTCTGCAGGGGTGGGACAAGTTCTCACGCACATCATGGGGTTGGGCCATTTGTGGGAACAGAGATCTTGTTTTGTATGAAACCTGGCAAGTGGTAGGTAGCAGGGGCGGATATAGGGTGGAATGGGGCGGCTGCCCCGGCCCCCGCACTTAAAAAAGCCCTGCACATGCGCCATGGCGCCACCGCGCATGCGCATGGTGTCACGGCGCATGTGCTGTGGCAAAGGGGGGCCCCGCCAAACAGTCATCTGCCCCTGGTAGGTAGGCAGTCGCTGCCTCCATGTTCGGAACCTGACTAATTCTATTACCACATAGAGATCAATGGGAATTTGTTCTCGTTCACTAGCAGGCCCAGACATGTGAAAAGCTGAAAGATGGACACACCGATGGCTTGGACTTGCATTTGCAAAGAGCCCCTAAACAATCAGTTACATAAGTATAATAAAACACAGATGCCCATCTTCTGAGGTATGCTGCCCAACTGCAAGATACTTTGTGAATACCCAGCATAATGTCAAAAGTCTGAAGGGCAAAACCCAATATAGAAGGGGTTGTTCAACACAAACTTATTGAGCTTATCACAATATGGAATGTGCGTCACTGCAGTCAGTATACCAGTCTTTGTGGTCCAGGGAGGATATGATGGATGTAAGGGAGACCATCTTGAATTAAGTGTTAAGGGGTCAGTTGTAGAACATAGGGTGAAATCCCCCAGTATTTTTTAGGGTGAGGGAATACTGTGACTAGAAACTTCTTTCTTCCTTTACAGTGCCAAAAGCAAGGAGAGACTGCATTTCTCATTGAAGTAGAATCTTGTGGGAGTGGTCTCTGAAGAGGGACAAGGAAGGGTAGTGGTTGGGGGAAGGGTAGCGGAATTGCATAGCATAGCTTCTCTAGTCCACAACCAAGACCCAGCAGTCTGAGGTGATGTTGGACCAGGTGGGTGCACTGAAAGTGAGCCAGAAATTGCTGAAAAGAGTGAATAACATGGAATGAAAGGTATTCGGCCTCGAGTGAAAAATCACATTTTACTGCCTGGTCAAAGTCAAATCAGTGATGAGAGAAGGTAGACCCACTCCTTGGATTTTATTCTCTTCCCTCTGCTTGGGACCAAGTGGTTCAGGTAGTCTTTACTGAAAGAATGGCTGCTGGTGATAGAAATGGGATCTGAAATAGCTTTATCTGGAGACCAGGGTGTAGATACCAAGGGATCTGAGTGTTGCTCTGGAATCTTTGAGGGATCTCCTGGCGTCCTCATCAGTCTTCTCATGAAAGAGTGAGCACTCCTCACAAGGGAGGTCCCTTCATTGTCATTTGTAATTCCTGCCTACCAAAGCCAACCAGGAAAAGCAGTGCATTGTGATTTTTGTAGCCATTGCCCTGGAAACAGAATCTACTGCATCCAAGAGCTTCACAACATGACTCTGGCTACCACATGACCTTGGCTCAGACAGTTTGGAAATCATCCTTGTACCCTTGGGTCAGCTTATCAATGCCCTGTTGTAAAAGTACACAAGTTGATATGGACATATTTTGCCAAGAGTGTGTAGTAATTCAAGATTGTCATGTTGAACGGTCACTGACAATACCATAACTCAATGTGCACACTACTTGATTGGCAAGCTAATAAGGACCTGAATTTAGGATCTAATTCTATCCATACTCTAGCTTTCTATAGAAAGGATATCATTATCTGTTAAATTATATGCATTTTTAAAGGGAGATTGTTTAAAACCAGGCTTTTCTTCTTCCCATTAAATTTTCCATGAGGAAAAATTTCCCTTTTTAAAAAGTCTACAAGGCTTTGAAGGTGTCCTTGATAGTCTATTTTTACTACTCCTGTTTTGGTAAAACAATCAGACTAAATCTTTCTCATTAGGTGGCATGTAGCTTAGTACATAGTGTGAAGCCACCTGTCTTTCCTTGCTCCAGCTATACAGACTTTCCTCCTTGGTTTCTGAGAGAAAGCCTGTTATTTCCTCAAACAGGGTATGTCTACACTACCCCGCTAGTTCGAACTAGCGGGGTAATGTATGCATACTGCACTTGCTAATGAAGCCCGGGATTTGAATTTCCCGGGCTTCATTAGCATAAGCGGGGAGCCGCCA